GTCTTAAACATACTCCACAAGCTAAGTTCGCGCACCTCTACGACATCAATTGCATATGTTCTAATTTATGATGATGATCTCATCATTACGGGAAGCTCTTCTTCCTTTATGTCCTCTCTTATTACTCGTCTTGATGCGAAATTCACCCTAAAAGATTTGGGCCACCTGCACTTCTTCTCTGGCATTGAAGTTCTTCGCTCTCCCACTAGTTTAGGCCCAACTCAAAGACAATACATTTGGACGGTCTTATGCTTCGCCATTGGGCATGGATGGATCATTCGACAATTGGCTTTCTCCATGGCACACCCAATGAAGAAGTCTATATGTGCCAACCACAGGGCTTTGTGGATGAGTGTTAATCCTTCTCATGTTTATCGTCTTTGGAAATCATTGTATGGTCTTAAACATACTCCACAAGCTAAGTTCGCGCACCTCTACGACATCAATTGCATATGTTCTAATTTATGATGATGATCTCATCATTACGGGAAGCTCTTCTTCCTTTATGTCCTCTCTTATTACTCGTCTTGATGCGAAATTCACCCTAAAAGATTTGGGCCACCTGCACTTCTTCTCTGGCATTGAAGTTCTTCGCTCTCCCACTAGTTTAGGCCCAACTCAAAGACAATACATTTGGACGGTCTTATGCTTCGCCATTGGGCATGGATGGATCATTCGACAATTGGCTTTCTCCATGGCACACCCAATGAAGAAGTCTATATGTGCCAACCACAGGGCTTTGTGGATGAGTGTTAATCCTTCTCATGTTTATCGTCTTTGGAAATCATTGTATGGTCTTAAACATACTCCACAAGCTAAGTTCGCGCACCTCTACGACATCAATTGCATATGTTCTAATTTATGATGATGATCTCATCATTACGGGAAGCTCTTCTTCCTTTATGTCCTCTCTTATTACTCGTCTTGATGCGAAATTCACCCTAAAAGATTTGGGCCACCTGCACTTCTTCTCTGGCATTGAAGTTCTTCGCTCTCCCACTAGTTTAGGCCCAACTCAAAGACAATACATTTGGACGGTCTTATGCTTCGCCATTGGGCATGGATGGATCATTCGACAATTGGCTTTCTCCATGGCACACCCAATGAAGAAGTCTATATGTGCCAACCACAGGGCTTTGTGGATGAGTGTTAATCCTTCTCATGTTTATCGTCTTTGGAAATCATTGTATGGTCTTAAACATACTCCACAAGCTAAGTTCGCGCACCTCTACGACATCAATTGCATATGTTCTAATTTATGATGATGATCTCATCATTACGGGAAGCTCTTCTTCCTTTATGTCCTCTCTTATTACTCGTCTTGATGCGAAATTCACCCTAAAAGATTTGGGCCACCTGCACTTCTTCTCTGGCATTGAAGTTATTCGATCTCCCACTAGTTTAGGCCCAACCCAAAGACAATACATTGTCGATCTTCTCAAACTCTGCAACATGGATGGTGCCAAACCTATCCGCAACCCATGCTCTCCCAAAATGCAATTGCACAAAACCGAGGATACTACCTTTGAAGACCCCCTCCTTTATAGGAGCATTTTTGGCGCCTTACAATATGCCACCATTACCCAATTGAACATCTCCTTTTTCGTCAACAAAGTGTGTCAAGTTATGCACCAGCCATCTGTTGCTCAATGGGATGCGGTCAAGTGCATTTTTTGGTATCTCAATGACACACTAACCATGACCATTTCCATTTGTCGCCCATTGAACTTCAGAATTTCAACCTACTCCGACGCTGATTAGGTAGGATATACAGGTGATTGTAGGTCTACTAGTGGTTTTCCATATTTCTAGGACCAAACCTCATCACCTGGCGTTGTAAGAAACAGAAATGTGTTGCACGTTCTAGCACAGAGCCAAAATACTGTTTACTCGGGGATGCCACAATTGAATTATCCTAGACACAATCTCTATTAACTGAATTGAAGATCCCCCAACCAACTTGTCCTCTCCTATGGTGTGACAACTTTGGGGCTACCTATCTCACAACCAATCCTGTCTTTCAAAATCGGATGAAACACGTTGAAGTAACATTTCATTTTATGCGTGAGAAATTACACGCCAAAGCACTTCAAGTCAATTACATGTCTACTAGGGATCAAATTGCCGTTGTCTTCACGGAGCCCCTTTCGTTTTCTCTTGCTTCAAGACAAGCTTAACCTTCTTCCAAACACGCTTCACTTGCCGGGGCATATCAGTGATGAAGGATAAAAGTGTGATATGCATGCAACAAAATTTCTCATATTATCTTGTCAGCTACTTTGAATACTTAGAATCCTACTTGTACTCAATTACCCTGTAAATCTATAAATACTTCTGTAACCATACAATATAGCAAAATTCAATTGGTCTTATGCTTTTCTCATACTCTGATGTCAAAAAGGCCCTGTGAGAGTTCTGATAGCAACCACATAAAATGTAGTACGAAAACAAAAGTTGAATTTTAACAGAGAATAACCAACCAAAACTTGATAGCTATATTCAACAAAGTTGGTTGTGCAATGATGCTTTAACCGGTCCAAAAAAAAAAAAAAAAATTTTAAAAAATTCTATTTCTTCTTTCAAAACTCATACCCAATCAAAGTAAACAAACAAAAATTTGACCAGAACTAAGAGATTAATTTAAACCTATTCCTAATTTCTTTCATAAATGAAACAATCCAAAAAACACAATTTGCAACCATAGAAACAATGCAGATTAATAAAATTGATCAATTCAGGAAGAGAATCGAGAGAGAAACAGAACGATTACTCACATTTTGTTATGAAACCATTTGAAAAAAGATAAAAGTGAGCTCAATGACACAAAGAGGCTTTAGAGATATATATACACACACAGAGTGAGCATCCGATTAGCAGGTATATAATTGTCAGGATGCCCCAACACATTAGGAGCATAAAAAATTCAAATGGAAGAAAAAATACCAAAAGCTACCCAACCTATTACATAAAAATAAGAGTAAGAAGCAATTTTATCTATCTCTGAATATACACCGAATGGATTATTTGATCTATATTGATGCAATGAGGCTAGATGAAGAAGACACATACATATATATTTGTTGAAGATTCAAAAAATTGGGTTGCGAAAAGAGTGGCTCAAAATAAAAAAAAAAAAAGATGAATTAATAGGGGGAAATATAGATTTGCTGAGTGGTGAATGCGCAAGTGTGCAATAGTTTTTAGAATTTCATATAATTGGGCAAAAGTATAAGTTAATTTCTAAAACCATGCCAAAAGATTGCTAATAATATACTTCATATTAAAAAAATATATATCTATTGTGTCTAACACCTTTTCTATGGAAGTGTCTTTACTGAATTCAAAGAGTTCACAAATTGCATAAGCCAAGTGAGTTTATAATTGCTAGACCACCCAGAATAACACGTGTAAACATATTCGGAGGAATCTCAAAATAATTATTCGTCGCGAATGAACAATAGCGTATTGGGTGAGGGAAAATTGGGGACATGCATGATATATGAGTAGGGGTGTCAGCTCTGACCCATTGACACGAGCCTGACACGAACGATTATAAAATTGATACGATTATTAAATACGCATAATAAGTAGTGTAGAATAATGTTTAATACTCAAAACACACTAAATAAATTTTTTTGTTTGTGGATCTTAACACGAACACAGCACTAATAACAATAACACGATATGTGGGTGACATGAACACAACACGATTGATACCCCTATATATGGGTCTAGTTGGTTATTTTTGAGAAAACTAAATTATTCCAGAAATAATTTAAAGAGATTAGTTGATTTTTTTGCATCTTTTGTTCGAGTCCAACAAGCCCCGAAAATAAACTAACATGAGATTTTCATAGGTTACGTCATCTTACAGCAATTTCAAAAATTAAGCCAATATTTTGAGGTAATTTATTCCGGTTTCACAAAGAGAAGAACAATAAGCAAACAAGAAATTGTTTGGATAAATCGAATATCTCACGTTCAATTTGGTGTCGAACTAGATACAAGATTAAGTTATAATTTACCAAATCCAAGCAATCCGTCAAGTAAATAATCCAACCAAATCTGAACACCTTAATGCTTCATTTGGTATGAAAAAAAAAATAAAATTATAGAAAGTTAGAAGAATAGATAAATCATTATTTTTGGTAAGGAAAAAAATATGAAGGATAAAAAAGTGAATAGACGAGTTTTTCTTCCAATTCACTAAAATTAATCTTTCTAAAATTTAAAAAAAATAGATATAAATAAAAAATTAATTATTTATCTTAAAATGTATGTTATTTATCTATATTCAACAGTATTATAGTCAACTAAGTGAGCTTAGACTATTCTGCTTCGAAATGATTATACCTGTTGAATAACTACTCTTGTCTTTGTCCTACATNGGCAATTACTAGTTTGTCTATATTCAACAGTATTATAGTCAACTAAGTGAGCTTAGACTATTCTGCTTCGAAATGATTATACCTGTTGAATAACTACTCTTGTCTTTGTCCTACATATAAGTCATATTTTGTTTGCTTTATTCTTCACTCTATTCAACCCTAAATTCAACTTCGGGGTGCGGTTTTATATTTCCTTTCAATCGACGAGCATGAAGGATAGCCGACAATTCTTCTCATTCTACAATGGCAGACTTCTCTATTGCAGTAGAAATTTCCTTTTGTATATAATATGTATCTATAACNACACTCTATTCAACCCGAAATTCAACTTCGGGGTGCGGTTTTATATTTCCTTTCAGTCGACGAGCATGAAGGATAGCCGACAATTCTTCTCATTCTACAATGGCAGACTTCTCTATTGCAGCAGAAATTTCCTTTTGTATATAATATGTATCTATAACACTATCAAATTCTTATAAATGGCTCCATACAGCAACCACTAAGCCACTATATAAAGGCCTTCAAGGAGCATAACCAAAGCACACCAAGAAAGTAAAAGCAATAACACTGTGAGAGAGCCAGGAAGAGAAAAAAAGATACGAGAGGAGAGAGATGGAGCTTTTCAAGGTGTTCATGTCCATTGCTTTACTTTCTGCGGTGGCGGTGTTTGTGCGTCTGTACAAGGCTCTGGTGACTGAGCCGGCCAGGGTTCGAAGGATACTGAAGAAACAGGGAATAAACGGACCACCACCAAGTTTTCTACTTGGTAATATGATGGAGGTCAAGAAGCCAATCGATGAGGCCGCCAAAGCTACTAAATCCGCCGCCAATAATGGAACCCAACTCGACCACAACTGGGTTGCCACTCTCTTTCCATTCTTCGAGAAGTGGAGACAAATATACGGTATATTACATTTACATAACAAAACCATCATCATCACCGTCTCATTTTTCATATTCAATACTATGATGTAAAATATAAGCATTGGTTTACTTTTTTTTCCTCGTGTTTTACAGGTGAATTGTTTGTGTTTTCTCTTGGTAATTCACAAATAATGTATGTGAATCACCCTGATTTGATAAAAGAGATAACCACACATACAACCTATGACTTGGGTAAACCTTCATATCACCGAAAAGAGTTTGGTCCTTTGCTTGGCGACGGCATTCTTACCACAAATGGACCTACCTGGGCATATCACAGAAAAGTCCTTGCTCCTGAATTGTACATGGAGAAAATCAAGGTGTGTGAACACATGATAATGCTGTTTTCAAACCTTTTTGTTTGCTTTCAGGTAGTTTTCTTGTTGAGACTAAAAGTCCCATATGTCCGAACTCAAATTCTTGCAGGGAATGACAAACCAAATATCGGAGTCTGTAGTTATCTTGGTTGACGCATGGAACAAAAAAATTGATTCCGAGGGTGGACTTGCAGATATAAACATTGACGAGTACATGAGAACCTTTTCCGGAGACGTGATTTCAAGAGCTTGTTTTGGTAGCAATTATGTCAAGGGAAAAGAGATTTTTAACAGACTTAAAGTTCTCCAGGAGGCTACTTCTGATAAAGTTTTATCCATTGGTATCCCTGGAATAACGTAAATCAATTCACTAATCTTTTCTTTTGTTGTTTACTTTCTTATAGCAACTCTCAAATCCTACGTACAACGTTGAAGCTAATCATATTGTTTGTACATGTTTCAGATATCTACCTACAAAGGCCAACAGAGAAGCATGGGCATTAGAGAAGGAGATCCATAATTTGATCCTAGAGGTAGTGAAGGAGAGGAAGGAAACAGGGGCTGAGAAGGACCTTTTGCAGATGGTTATGGAAGGCGCTGAAAATGGAGAAATGAGCCAGAAAGAAATAGACCAATTCATTGTTGCTAATTGCAAGAATGTATACTTGGCAGCACATGAGGCCAGTGCAATTGGGGCATCATGGTGCCTCATGCTTTTGGCCTCAAATCCAGAATGGCAAGATCGAGTTCGTGCTGAGGTCCTTGACATTACTGGTGGCCGAACTCCAGATGCTGATATGCTCCGAAAAATGAAACAGGTATAGTGTCATTATCAAATTTTAAACTTTACTAAAAATGATTTATACACAATCTACATCCGACACGACGAAGTTAACCATACATAATTTTAAATTGTTGAGTACAAGGTTTAGGAACATGACACAAGGCCAACTATTGACAACCCCAATCTCAATGGCTACTTTCAATCTTTTTCCCTGCTCACTTGCGTAGTTTTGGTTTGGCATTGGGCTTATAATTCGAAAATGTCTCAATGACTGAGTGCTAAAACTGACCTATTTTGCAGCTAACAATGGTGCTTCAAGAAACCCTGCGTCTTTATCCATCTGGCCCTGCATTGGCAAGGGAGGTTTTGAACGATGTGACAATTGGGGNGGTTAATTGCAAATTGCATTCCGAAAGATTGTTTAAATTTTAATTTGTATCCCCAAATATCAAAAATCTCAATTTACACCCTCAAAAATATAAATTTGTATCAAGGTGCACCCCCAGAAATAAAATTTGTATTAATATGCACCTAAAACTAACCGCCGTCAATTTGTTGCCTAAAATTAAATTGATAAATTATACTTAGATCCCTCCATGTTTGTCACTTAATCATTTGAATCCCTTCATATTTAAAATATTACTCCTACATCTCATGACGTTTGTGCATGTGTAACACGTAATTCATTTTCATTAATATCTGTTAATATAACCGCTAAAAAATATAATTTGAACCTAATAAAAAATTATAATTTCATATTACTTTTTATTTTGTGGATCTGATATACTTTACAATTCAAAATCAAGCTTACAATTTGAATATCCAATAGAATGTAGGTATTTATAAAATATTTTTTATATCAATGTAATATATCACTCAATGTGCAATCCTTTATTCTATTGGACATTCAAATGGTAAACTTGATTTTAAATTTTAGAGTATATTAGACCCACAAAATAAAGGGTAATATAAAATTATANACAAACGGGGTCAATGCTGCGTGCAAGCTTCCACACGGCTTCTTGCCTTTCGGATTTGGGCCACGAATTTGTGTTGGGCAGCACTTGGCCATGGTTGAACTGAAGATGCTAATTGCTTCCCTTGTGTCCAACTTCTCTTTCATTCTCTCTCCCAAGTATGTCCATTCTCCGGCTCTGAAACTGGTGATAAAGCCTGAATTTGGAGTTGATCTTCTGATAAAGAAGCTCTAAGCTCTGCACCTTCAGATACACTTTCTTCCGAGAGAAATAACTTGGACACAAGAGTTATGTTGATATAAAGGGGAGAAAACATCTCTTAATTGTAAGCCCACTATTTTATTGTTGCTTTTTCTTTAATCTGTTTGATATGATTACCTATAAAAATGGTGTACGGTTTCAAATCTAATCCAAAATGTTGATCTTGTGATGTATTTCACACAAGATGTGGTGCTTGAAGTAAGTTTTTGTTATGGAAAATATTTTTTGAATTTAATTTGAAGATCTAATTTAGATATCTAATTCAATATAACTATTAGATCAATAATAAATTTCATTTAACATTAAAATTCACAACTAATTCAATGAATACAATAAAATTATATCATTAAATTATCAAATTAAGGTCTTACATTATTTGCTCTTTTGTTAAAACAAGGAAAAAGGGAACTTATCCATCTCTAGTTTGCCCCTTAAAGTGGCTTAGTTTCAACTCATTTTTTATTTAAAAGTTTGGGTTAATAGTATGTTTTATTTTAAAATAAGGTTAATTGCAAATTGCATTCTGAAAGATTATTTAAATTTTAATTTGTATCCCCAAATATCAAAAATTTCAATTTACACCTTCAAAAATATAAATTTGTATCAATGTGCACCCCCAGAAATAGAATTTGTATTAATATGCACTTAAAACTAACCGCCGTCAATTTGTTGCCTAAAATTAAATTGATAAATTATACTTAGATCCCTCCATGTTTGTCACTTAATCATTTGAATCCCTTCATATTTAAAATGTTACTCCTACATCTCATGACGTTTGTGCATGTGTAACACGTAATTCATTTTCATTAATATCTGTTAATATAACCGCTAAAAAATATAATTTGAACCTAATAAAAAATTATAATTTCATATTACTTTTTATTTTGTGGATCTGATATACTTTACAATTCAAAATCAAGCTTACAATTTGAATATCCAATAGAATGTAGGTATTTATAAAATATTTTTTATATCAATGTAATATATCACTCAATGTGCAATCCTTTATTCTATTGGACATTCAAATGGTAAACTTGATTTTAAATTTTAGAGTATATTAGACCCACAAAATAAAGGGTAATATAAAATTATAATTTTTTATTATGATAAAATTATANGGATCTAATTTAGATATCTAATTCAATATAACTATTAGATCAATAATAAATTTCATTTAACATTAAAATTCACAACTAATTCAATGAATACAATAAAATTATATCATTAAATTATCAAATTAAGGTCTTACATTATTTGCTCTTTTGTTAAAACAAGGAAAAAGGGAACTTATCCATCTCTAGTTTGCCCCTTAAAGTGGCTTAGTTTCAACTCATTTTTTATTNGGAGTAATATTCTAAATGTGAAGGGGTCAAAATGATTAAGTAACAAGAATGAAGGGTTTTAGGTATAATTTAGTAATTTAATTTTAGGCAGCAAACTAATGACGGTTAGTTTTAGGTACACATTAATACAAATTTCTTTCTTTGAGAGTACAAATTAAGATTTTTGATCTTGAGGGNTTTAGCTGATTTTTGAAGTTTAGAAATTATTGGTTGGGACCCCTGAGTTTTGTTTCCTTCTGAGGTNGAGAGTACAAATTAAGATTTTTGATCTTGAGGGTACACATTGATACGAATTTATATCTTTGGAGGTGTAAATTAAAATTTTTTATTTTTGGGGTACAAATTGAGATTTAAACGATCTTTCAGGGTATAATTTGTAATTAACCCTTTAAAATATACATATTTTATCAATTCGGTCTTTAAAATATTAATTTTATTGTTTTTGTTCATAAAATATTTACACTATAACAAAAAATATTTTTTGTGACGATTTTAAATTTGTCGCAAAAAATTTACTATTCACAACAATTTTATAATTTTGTCACAAATTTTTATTTTGACAATTTTTTTGCAACGAAAAGGCGATTTCCTCCCAATTATTTTTGGAGGGAGAAATGGCGGGAATTGACAAATTAAATAAAAAATAATAATTTAATTTATTTTTCGCAACGTTTTTAAAAAATGTTGTAAATAAATTTTTATGTAAATAAAAAATTTTAAAAATAATAATTTAATAAATTTTTTGCGACAATTTTAAAAAAGTGTCGCCAATAAATTATGTAAATAAAAAATTTTAAAAATAATAATTAAATTAATTTTTCACCAATAATTGTTTACGTAAATAAAAATTTTAAAATTAATAATTAAATTATTTTTTACGATGTCTTTTAAAAACATCGCCGTAAATATAAAATTTTAAGGGTTAATCTCATTTTGTACCCCGAAAGATCGTTCGAATCTCAATTTACACCCCCAAAGATTAAAAATTTTAATTTACACCCTCAAAGATTAAAAATCTCAATTTACACCCTCAAAGATAGAAAATTGTATCAATGTACACCCCCAAAGATCAAAAATCTCAATTTGCACCCTCAAAGATAGAAATTTGTATCAATGTACACCCCAAAGATCAAAAATCTCAATTTACATCCTCAAAGATAGAAATCTGTATTAATGTGCACCTAAAACTAAATTGATAAATTATATCTAGATCCCCTCATGTTTGTCACTTAATCATTTGAACCTCTTCACATTTAGAATATTACCCCTACATCTCATGACGTTTGTACATGTGTAAACATAACCACTTTTCGTTGATATCTATTAATATAATCGTTAAAAAATATGATTTTATCCTAATAAAAAATTATAATTTCATATTACCCTTTATTTTGTGGATTCGATATACTCTAAAGTTCAAAATCAAGCTTACCATTTGAATGTCTAATAGAATGTAGATATTTATAAAAAGGAAAATATGAAAAACATTATATAAATATCTACATTTTATTAGACATTCAAATGGTAAGCTTGATTTTGAACTTTAGAGTATATTGGACCCATAAAATAAGGGTGATATGAAATTATAATTTTTTATTAGGATACAATTATATTTTTTAACGGTTATATTAACAGATATCAATGAAAATGGGTTACATGTTGTACGTGCATAAATGTCATGAGATGTATGAGTAATATTCTAAATGTAAAGAGGTCCAAATGATTAAGTGACAAACATGAGA